GGGTTGTTGACGTGTGTGAAAGGGGTGTTAACGTGTGTGGAGGTTGTTGACGTGTGTGGGGTTGTTACGTGGTTTAGGGTGTTAACGTGTGTGGAGGTTGTTGAGTGTGTGAGTTTTTAACGTGTGTGGAGGTTGTTGACGTTGGTGTGGGGGTTGTTGACGTTGTGTGAGGGTTTTTAAAGGGTGTGGAGGTTGTTGACGTGTGTGGGTTGTTACGGTGTGAGGGTGTTGAACGTGTGTGGAAAGGGTTGTTGAGTGTGTGAGGGTTTTTAACGTGTGTGGAGGTTTTTTTGACGTGTGTGGGGGTTGTTGACGTGTGTGTGAGGGGTGTTAACGTGTGTGGGTTGTTGACGTGTGTGGGGGTTGTTTACGTGTGTGAGGGGTTTTTAAAGGTGTGGAGGTTGTTGAGTGTGTGAGGGTGTTAAAGGGGTGTGGAGGTTGTTGACGTGTGTGAGGGTGTTAACGTGTGTGGAGGTTGTTGACGTGGGGGGGTTGTTTCGTGGTGGGATGTTAACGTGTGTGGAGGTTGTTGACGTAGTGTGGGGTTGTTAAAGTGTGTGAGGGATGTTAAAAGTGTGTGGAGGTTGTTGACGTGGTTTAGGGTTTAACGTGTGTGGGGATGTTGACGTTGGTTTGGGGTTTGACGTGTGGTAGGGTTAACGTGTGTGGGGTTGTTGACGTGTGTGGGGTTGTTAAGTGTGTGAGGGTTGTTAACGTGTGTGGAGGTTGTTGACGTGTGTGAGGGTTGTTAACGTGTGTGGAGGTTGTTGACGTGTGTGGGGTTGTTGACGTGTGTGGAGGTTGTTAAGTGTGTGAGGGGTTTTTGACGTTTTGGGGTGGAAGTTGTATGTAAAGTTGTGGAGGTTGTTGACGTGTGTGAGGTTTTTACGTGTTTTGGAGTTGTTGAAAGTGTGTGGGGTTGTTGACGTTTGTGAGGGTGTTAACGTGTGTGGAGGTTGTTGAAGGTTTTGTGGGGGTTGTTGACGTGTGTGGGGTTGTTTGACGTGTGTGGGGGTTTGTTGACGTGTGGGGGTTTTTTGACGTGTTGGGGTTGTTGAGGTGTGGGGTTGTTACGTGTGTGGGGGTTGTTGAGTGTGTGGGGGTTGTTGACGTGTGTGAGGGTTGTTGACGTGTGTGGAGGTTGTTGACGTGTGTGGGGTTGTTAGTGTGTGGAGGTTGTTGACGTGTGTGAGGGTTGTTGCGTGTGTGGGGGTTGTTGACCCTGTGTGGGGTTGTTGACGTTGGGGGTGGAGGTTGTTGACGTGTGTGGGGGTTGTTGACGTGTGTGGGGTTGTTGACGTGTGTGAGGTTGTTGCGTGTGTGGAGGTTGTTTACGTGTGGAGGGTTGTTGAAAGTGTGTGGGGGTTGTTGACGTGTGTGGGGTTTTACGTGGTTTGGAGGTTGTTGACGTGTGTGGAGGTTGTTGACGTGTGTGGGGGTTGTTGACGTGTGTGAGGGTTGTTGGCGTGTGTGGAGGTTGTTGACGTGTGTGGAGGTTGTTAACGTGTGTGGGGTTGTTGACGTGTGTGGGGGTTGTTAACGTGTTGAGGGTTGTTGACGTTTTTTGGGGTTGTTGCGTGAGTGGGGTTGTTGACTTGTGGGTTGTTAGAGTTGAGGTTTTCTGTGTGGAGGTTTTAAGGTTTTAAAGGTGTTGAATTTTTTAACGTGTTAAAATTTTGACTTTGGGGTTTGACGATGGGGGTTTGACTGTGTGGGGTTGTTGACGGTGGGGATTGTCTGTGAGGGGGTTGTTAACGTGTGTCAGGTGTCGTTGTGAATTTTTCTGTGTAGTTGACGTTGTTAGTTTTAACGTGGTGATTGTTGGCGTTGTGTAGGATTTTATTGTAGGTTTTGCAGGTTAAAGGTTTTATTTTGGGGTTGTTGACGCCCTTGTGTTGAGGGTTGTTGCTGTGTGAAGTTTTGACGGTTGTGGATTTTTACGTTTTGGGGTTGTTGGCGGTGTGGGTTGTTGACGTTTGGGGGGTTGAGTGAGTGGGTTTGACCGTGTGTGGGTTTTGACTGGTTTGAGGGTTGTTGGCTTCGGATGTTAACGGGGGAGGTTGTTGACGTGTGTGGGGATTTGGTCGTGTTAGGTTGTTGACTGTTGGAGATTGGTTAACGGGAAAAAGGGTTTGGTGGTTGAAGGTGTTGATGTGGGGTTTTGAGTAGGGGGGCTGTTTGGGGGTTTTCAGGTGATGTTTTGGCTGTGGAGGTTGGACGTTTGTGGAGGTTGCCTTATTTAGTTTTGGGTGTGTGGAGTTGTTTTACCTGGTGGAGGGTTTTTAACTTGTTTTTGGGTGGGAAGTTGTTACTTTAGGTTTTTCGTGTAAATTTATGTTTTTTGACTGTTAGGTTTTTTGGGGTGGGATTTTCGTTTGTAATTTGGTGGTTTTTGACTTATTTTTGTGTGTGAAGTTTTATTTAGGTTTTACTTTTTGTTGAGGGGGAGGGGTTTAAAGGGGGTATCCCCCAATTTTCATTAACATGTGTACAACCTCTTACTTTCCCTCAATGTACGGATGGTGGATTCTCTGGTACGAACAATAACGGCAGTCAGTATCACATGTGTGCCACCTCGCTTCATATCTAAATTTAACTCTTTGTTATTAGTGATTCATTTTCATTTTTCTTCTTCTCATTTCCAGCATCACCAGTATTCCTTTTAGATCCCCATTGTTAATATCCAGATGATGTGATGAAAAGACTCAAAATAATCTGATAAACAGTGTGAATCACAACGCTTCTAGAGAGCATCTGGAGTCGGTGTGGGTGCCAGTATAAGAGGGAAGGTGATGTGTCTCCTTGAGGACCCGACCGATGGGTCCAACTTTTGTCTCAGGAAAAAAAAATCAAAGAGCGTAGTTTACTTGGATCCACCCCCGCGGCCCGGTCTGAGACCAGGCCTCATGGTGGATCAGGGTCTGAACAACCAGGCTGTTACTGTTAGCCGCACGCAACCTGACGTACGAACAACAGCCCTACTGGTCAGGTACTGACTTTAGGTGCCTGTCCAGCGCCTTCTTGAAGACTAACAGGGGTGTATTGGTAATCCCTCTTATGTATGCTGGGAGGCAGTTGAACAGTCTTGGGGCCCTGACACTTATTGTGTTGTCTCTTGGTGTACTCGTGGCGCCCCTGCTTTTCACTGGGGGAATGTTGCATCTCCTGATTTTTGCGTGCAGGTTTGGTACTAATCCCTCTAGGATTTTCCAAGTGTATATTATCATGCATCTTTCTCGACTGCATTCCAAGGAATGCAGATCAAGGGACTTCAACTGTTCACTGTAATTTAGGTGCTTTATCGTACTTATGTGTGCTGTGAAAGTTCTCTACATTCTCCAGGTCAGCAATTTCACCTGCCTTGAAGGGGGCAGTTAGTGTACAGCAGTATTCCAGCACAGAGACAACAAGCGGTTTAAAGAGAATCATTATGGGCTTGCATACCTAGTTTTGAAGGTTCTCATTATCAATCCTGTCATTTTTCTAGCAAATGAGGTAGATGCATTGTAGTGGTCTTTGAAAGTGAGATCCTCTAACATTATCACTCCCAGGTCCTTCACATTAATTTTTCGTTCTATTATGTGGTTAGAATTTGTTTTATACCCTGATTAACTTTTAATTTCCTCACGTTTTCCATATCTGAGCTGTTGAAATTTCTCTTCATTGAACTTCATATTGTTTTCTGTGGCCCATTTAAAGATCTGGTTGATGTCTCGAATTGCCATGACAGTGTCTTCGATGGCGGACACTGTCATGGCAATTCGGGTGTCATCCGCAAAGGAAGGTACGGATCTATGGTTTACATCTCTGTTTATGTCAGATATGGGATAAGGAACAGGATGGGAGCGAGTACTGTGCCTTGCGGAACAGAGCTTTTCACTGTAGCTGCCTCAGACTTTACTCTGTTTACTTCTACTTTTGTGTTCTATTTGTTAGAAGTTATTGATCCATCTACCAGCTTTTCCTGTTATTCCTTTTGCCCTTTGTTACTGCGTAATAATCAGATTCTCTTCGTAACATACTTCCAATTTTTTTCCAAGCACTTTGCGAAGAAGCATCCACTTTTTCAAATTCTATTAGGCAAAACTGAAAAATAAAATGATTCTCTGTAAGAGGGATTACTGTAACTGAACCACTTGGATTACAAGGCACTTGAATTTCGGGATTCAACTGTATATTTTGGAAACTAAAAGTGTAGCAATTCATCGATAAAATTGACAGTGGATTACTAAAGTGCTGTACCGGGAAACTTAAACATTTTAAATCTTCGTGAATCCTTTTGATTTAGTAAAATATTGCACAAATTCTATCAGTACACTGTTATGAAAAATATTTTGGGGAGTTTAAAATACATTTCTTCAGTGAAGCTGACTAATATATACTTAATTTATTCCCAGGTTAATAATACTTTAGTAATGCAGTTCGTAGTTATGTTATTCCATAAACTGTACGGTAACTTAATAACTGTGTTATTATTATCTGTTTCAAGTATTTGCTGTAAAAGCAGGTATGGAAACGCCATTGCTTGGTATGTCATGTTTGATCATTAAGCGTGGCTTATGAGACAATATCCAGGCTTATCTGTCTTTCTGCATATTGTTTCATTGAGTGAGAAAATGCTTCTCATGCAAGTTACAAGCCACAACTTGGTCACACCTGCTGTGTGGGGAACTGTGACCCATTGTTTAACATTTCAAGTAATATTTCTTATAAATACTTCTATTATATTTGTTAATTTGCATTTTTCAATATATAAAAGCGGTAAATGGAATAACAAATCTGACTGATGTTCGTATATTTAATTGTGTGGCAAAAAATGTATTCTTTATCAACTTAATTAATTTAATTCCACTAGTTCTCTGCTTATGCTGTTTTAATTATTAATTCAAATAGTGTAATAAAATTTTGTTTGTTTACGTAAAAATTTCTGTGATCAAATTTCACACAAATTAGTGACTCCTCTAATTATACTTCATGAACACTTTTTCCATCATCACCAGACCGTACCTGAATGCCAACAAGCGGGAGGCGCTAGCAGATTATGCTCTGCCCGTTGCAGTCATTGTTTTATCATTTATTGGGTCATACGTCTTCCGCGACGTCAAGCGTGAGTACTCTCTTCACCTTCAAAATATATTACACTTGTACTAATTGTAGTGTTACTGGCAGTGGAACAAGTGATAAGACTCTATAACTGCTGCAAACAGTAGTAATTACGTTATTAATCAGTTGTATGTATATATATATATATACCTGGAGGTTACCTGAGGTTATATATATATATATATATATATATATATATATATATATATATATATATATCGTGCCGAATATGTAAAACTGGTCAATTAGCAAGAACTCATTTAAAATTAAGTCCTTTCTTAAATTTTCTCTTATACTTTTAAAGATAAATTTTTTTCATTAAAGTTGATGTAAAAATTTATAATTTTGCACCAAAAGGAACTTAGAAAACTTACCTAACCTTATTATTAATAATATATATATATATATTATATATAATATATATATATATATAATTATATATATATATATATATTATATATATATATATATATATATATATATATATATATAGATGCAAAACAAACCACAAGGAGATGGAAGTCTTTAGGTCTAGATCTTTCACACTCTTGTGCGTCGTCAGGAGCTGTGAAATGTTGTAAGATAGCAACAGGTAAGAGGGGAAATTCTCTTAGGCAAGGCAGAAGGTATCACTGGCGTCCCATGACACAGTGTCAGGAGCCATCATTAATACCTTCTGCCTTGCCTCAAAGAAGTTGCCCTCTGTTTGTTGCTGTCTTACAACATTTCATAGCTCCTGATGATGCAAGAGAGTGCGAAAGATCTAAAGCTAAAGATTTTCATCCCTATATGGCTTGTTCTACATCGTTAAGATCTCCATTAAGTTCAGGCATTAAATTTCTGCTCAGTTGGTATCAACACTTAGGACAGAACTACATGTTGAATTTAGTATTAAAAAAAAAAACAATAAATCAGAAAGATATATAATTTATTTTATTTATTTAGGTTAAAAATAGCTGTTAATTTCGAAAATTCCATGTGATTACTGTTTAATAGATAATAATAATAATAATAATAATAATAATAATAATAATAATAATAATAATAATAATGTATAATTATTAATGTATAATTATTAATGTATTATTTTAGAAAAAAATAGACTTTTTATTATTAGTGTTTAGTATTTGCTAGCTTTAATAGCTTCAGTAGCATCTTTATTAAGGTTATTATCCTAGCTTCATTTGTTTTTATTGCGTAAATGCAGTGTCTAAAAAGCTGAGTCATGTTGTTGCTCGTAGTTACGTATTGTTCTTATTAATTGTCTTACCGCATGTAACATTAAAATGTTTTTTAAGGAGGACCTGGTGTTTTTTCACAACAAAATTAATTAAAATTCCATCTAAAATTTGCCATTTGCTTTATTGTCTTATGGTAATATTTCTCAACTGTCTGTTAATAAATGAGTTACACTCAGTTACCTTTTTATTGATTATATTTCCTAGAGGTCCTCGTGAATATAAAATCCACGAATAATACAAATTGTCTCGAATATTAAACATTGTTCTGCTTTTGGGTTCGTTATGTAGTTGAGAGAACAAGTTGTTTTTAAATGTTGCTCTAACATGGCTAATATTAGTCTGTATATAAATAACAAAAAGGCACAATACCGTGACTGGAACGATACACAAATGTTAGTCTGTATGAGATATTTATGGATAGGAGAGCAAGACTTAAGAAATCGTAATGACACGATTGCAAATAAACCATGTTGACGGCAGTGAAGGGACTTGAGCTAGAGTTCGTCACGGCCACGCTAGCTGGAGATTCGTCTGTAAAAACTTGCATTTGTGGTCACAGAGGTGCCTGTGCTAACTTTCCTATGGTGTAGAAATATACCTAGTTGGATGAATCTTATTGTGGCTAGCTGGTCTAGTGGCTAACGCGACGGGCTGGAGTTTTGAGACTCTATGATCGCGGGTTCAATCCCGGCCGGGGGTATGGTTTATAGGAGAGCAATTTGGCAGATTAGCAAATGTTACAAATGTTTGGAATAGATAGTAGGTAATTGAAGGTAATTAAGCTGTGTGCAGAAAGTCCTGGTTAGGTGTGTAAGAGAGTGAGATGCGTCATGTTAAACAACCCAACATTAAACTTTACTTGCTATTTTAGTAATAATACAGCAGAATGGGTTAACGGTGTATCTTGCTTCTGCCATTTCATTTGTCTTCTGGTACCCGCATTGCTTATGTAAGAAACATGTTAACCCACCTTATCCATGGAAGAGAAGCAAAACACCGCAAGGGCAAGAAATATTTAGAAATTAGAAGGAAATCAGATGAGAGTGCATAAACATTTAATAAGTTTATTCGCACTGGTATAGCAGAACAGTTGATGTTAGGCCCTTGTCCCAGGATGCGACCCACACCAGTCCACTAACTCCTAGATACCCATTTTACTGATGGGTGAACATAGACAACCGTATTTCTACCCTCGCTGGGAATCAAACGCAGACCCTCGCCGTGTGAAGCGAGAGCTTCACGAGGCACTAATAATACATCTTATTGCATTAGTTTATTATACTGCAATACCACCTTCATTATAATCAGATCCATAGTGTTTTACGAATGACTACCTAGGAAAATTGAAAAGTGCTACAGTAAAATGTTATATCAGGGTTTCTGTAAGAATAATGAAAGCTACGTTTGCATTTAGGGATTTTAGGAGCACGTTGATGTCTTTATAGAGTTGCAACTACCCAGACTAAGTAGTATTTAAAGGCATCTGATACACAAATTGAGTCCAGATTTGAAACAAAATTATGAAGAGGATTTTATATTATTAGTTATTCCCATGTGCAAGAGGCCTCTGGGACCGTAACTCGCGTGAATTTCTGGGATCAACCTTATACTTAGAAATAAGACTAGGAATTCCTCACTTGACTGTCTCAATGTTATTAATTATATTTAGTTTTTTTTACAATAGATTTTTTGGTCCATGCAATTTATTAACTAAGGCATGAATATTCTATTATTTGTTTTGTTAAGTACTACTCTTCTCTAAGGATCATTGTCACTGTTGTGGTTGACAAGTGCACACCTTCCTTAATTTTATTTTATTTTTGCATAAAAACCATTTTACTTTCTTGTTTTTTTTTTTTCATTTCAGTTGAGAATCAGAGTAAGTAGATGTCTTTTGTTTACTGCATGATTCCCTGGAGACAGTTTGCAGCTCACCTCATATCACCTTCCTAGCCCTATGTTTTTACTCAGTGTTAAAGCCAACCTTGTCAGCTGTCCACACAGCCTATGTACCCTTTTAAAAGAGGAGTCATGTCGTCTAAAAATTATATATACAGGAAAGCCCTTCTTATACAGCAGTTACAGTTAGGTTCACAAATACAGGAGAGCCTCTCTTATACAGCAGTTACAGTTAGGTTCACAAATACAGGAGAACCTCTCTTATACAGCAGTTACAGTTAGGGTTCACAAAATACAGGAGACCCTCTCTTATACAGCAGTTACAGTTAGGTTCACAAATACAGGAGAACTTCTCTTATACAGCAGTTACAGTTAGGTTCACAAATACAGGAGAACTTCTCTTATACAGCAGTTACAGTTAGGTTCACAAATACAGGAAAGCCCCTCTTATACAGCAGTTACAGTTAGGTTCACAAATACGAGAGAGCCCCTCTTATACAGCAGTTACAGTTAGGTTCACAAATACAGGAGAACCTCTCTTATACAGCAGTTACAGATAGGTTCACAAATACAGGAGAGCCTCTCTTATACAGCAGTTACAGTTAGGTTCACAAATACAGGAGAGCCCCTCTTATACAGCAGTTACAGTTAGGTTCACAAATACAGGAGGCCCCCTTATACAGCAGTTACAGTTAGGTTCACAAATACAGGAGAGCCCCTCTTATACAGCAGTTACAGTTAGGTTCACAAATACAGGAGAACTTCTCTTATACAGCAGTTACAGTTAGATTCACAAATACAGGAAAACTTCTCTCATACAGCAGTTACAGTTAGGTTCACAAATACAGGAGAACTTCTCTTATACAGCAGTTACAGTTAGGTTCACAAATACAGGAGAACCCTCTCTTATAAAAGCAGTTACAGTTAGGTTCAAAAATTTACAGGAAAACTTCTCTTATACAGCAGTTACAGTTAGGTTCACAAATACAGGAGAACCTCTCTTATACAGCAGTTACAGTTAGATTCACAAATACAGGAGAACTTCTCTTATACAGCAGTTACAGTTAGGTTCACAAATACAGGAGAACCTCTCTTATACAACAGTTGCAGTTAGGTTCACAAATACAGGAGAACTTCTCTTATACAGCAGTTACAGTTGGGTTCAAAAAATACAGGAGAACTTCTCTTATACAGTGTTTACAGTTAGGTTCACAAATACAGGAGAACCTCTCTTATAAGCAGTTAAGTTGGGTTCACAAATCATGAGAACTTCTTTATCAGCAGTTACAGTTAGGTTCACAAATACAGGAGAACCTCTCTTATACAACAGTTGCAGTTAGGTTCACAAATACAGGAGAACTTCTCTTATACAGCAGTTACAGTTAGGTTCACAAATACAGGAGAACTTCTCTTATACAGCAGTTACAGTTAGGTTCACAAATACAGGAGAACTTCTCTTATACAGCAGTTACAGTTAGGTTCACAAATACAGGAGAACTTCTCTTATACAGCAGTTACAGTTAGGTTCCGGGATACTGATGTAGAGCCAAAATTTCTGTAAAGTGAACAATAGCCTTTTTCACTTTAGAATGCATATTAAATCATGATAACATGTTTGCTCTATGTAATAGTGAGCACTAGAAATACGATACAGTTACATAGATTATCATACACATCAGCATATGTGTAGAGAACCTGGGATAACCCAAAAAAAAGTCAGAGTGACTTATTTTCATTGAGTGAAGGGCATGTGTATGACACATGGAGATCATTATTGTGGTGTCTGTATACCTAAGATATACACTGTGTATATTACTGCTGTGTATATTACTGCATGATTTGATATATTTTTATTATTTTATTAGCACTGTGTAGTATTTTCATTTAACCTTCACTTATTGTGATATATTTGATTTATAATTTATTTGTTATGCAATGTGATCATTTTCGTCATATATTTTTTTGAATTTTAAATTTAACTAAAGTGTTTTAATACAACAATAACTTTGAACTCGAGAAATTTTCCCTATATAATGCTGGCATGTATATTTTTGTGTGACAGTGGAACACTTCCGGTATGACAACAGCTACGACATGTTCAAATTGCCCCCACTGGAAATACTGCCATACCCAGCGGTGTTCGCTACCATGGGTATGGGATTCTCGCTCTCAATGCTCTTCTTCATGGACCAAAACATCGGCTCTGCCATGGTCAACAATCCATGCAACAAGTGAGTTCTCTCCTCAGACTGTTTCCATGAAACTTGACTGATAAGATGTCCTTTGTTTTCTTCCTTATTAAACTGTACCATTGCTTTATATTTAACACAAATTTTCTTTATCGGTTAGAGTTTATTCTTAATGATAAATACCGTAGTATTATCCATTGTGAGACTTGAGATTGTGAATTACAAAATGTATTGCCGTTTTTATGACGTCCTCTGTCTTATCACAATCCCTCTACCAGAAAAACATAACATTGGGTTATAAAATAATATCCATGTTTTTCACGGGAATTAGGAGTGAGACAAGTTATTTAAGTATCTCGTTAGTTTCAGTTATTGTAGGTGCACAGATGATCACATGTAAACAATGGTTGAGACTGGAGTTACCACGACGGAAGCATAAGCCATTGTGACTTTGCAGGTATTTTTTCCCCTTAACAAATCTGCCGATTCTCACTAAGATAAGGTGGACCAAAGAAGGAACACTTTCACCATTATTCATTCAATACCTGACTATGCCAGAAATGTGCAGGTATCCCAATTCAAATGTCCCTTTAAACAGCAATGTCTTTCCTCCTGCCTTCAAAGAGCTTAAAGTAGAATTTAAGATTGAATATTAATGGGAACGAGTGATACTGACAGAGAGCAGTTAATCGAAATAGGATTTGGTAGGCTCTGAAATGTTTCTAGGAATAGAGAGAATGAGTAGGCCTAATACTGAAATTGATAGCGACATATTAATAAACTCGATGAATTAAAATTGACATCACCGCTGTAGGAAGCTTACAAAAATACAAGAGGCGAGACATATGTGGCTGTTTTATTGTTCCAGTACACAACTGGAGCTACCAGTGGACTGGAAGGCAACACTGATGCTGAAAAATAATGGAATGAGCAGACACTTGCAACAGACAACATTGTACTACCATGCAGTAACATTCAACATTGTACTACCATTGTACTACCTTCAATATTGTACTACCATGCAGTAACATTCAACATTATACTACCATGAAGTAACATTCAATATTGTACTACCATGAAGTAACATTCAACATTGTACTACCATGAAGTAACATTCAATATTGTACTACCATGAAGTAACATTCAACATTGTACTACCATTGTACTATCTTCAGTATTGTACTACCATAAAGTAACATTCAGCATTGTACTACCATGAAGTAACATTCAATATTGTACTACCATGAAGTAACATTCAACATTATACTACCATGAAGTAACATTCAATATTGTACTACCATGAAGTAACATTCAACATTGTACTACCATGAAGTAACATTCAACATTGTACTACCATGAAGTAACATTCAATATTGTACTACCATGAAGTAACATTCAACATTGTACTACCATTGTACTATCTTCAGTATTGTACTACCATAAAGTAACATTCAGCATTGTACTACCCTTGTACTACCTTCAATATTGTATCAACATAGAGTAACATTCAAAATTGTACTACTATTGTACTACCTTCAATATTGTACTACCGTGAAGTAACATTCAACATTGTACTACCATGCAGTAACGTTCGACACTGTACCACCATTGTACTGCCTTCAATATTGCACTATCATAAAGTAACATTCAACATTGCACTACCATGAGGTAACATTCAACATTGCACTACCATGAAGTAACATTCAACATTGCACTACCATTATACTACCTTCAATATTGTACTACCGTGCAGTAATATTCAACACTGTACCACCATGCAGTAGCATTCAACATTGTACCACCATGCAGTAAGCTTCAGTTAACATCACACCTCATTTGAACCTAACACCTGCAACATCTGCACTCATCCTTCAGAGTGCAGGCACTGTACTTACCGTCTCCAGAGCCCCTGCCCAGCTAACAGGTTTTGATTTACTCTCTTAATAACTGTTACCTGACTCACATTCCAACAGAACATCAAATCCCAAAAATTATTTGTCTTCACTCATATTGATCTAATATACTCACACATGCTTGCTGGATGCCCGAGAGCTCTCCACTGGAAACTTCCTTCTTCCCTTCCGTCCAACTGTTTCAGTGACGTCCCTTATACCACCTTCCATCTATCCCGAGTATACGCACTCACTTGTTCGCCCTAACCTGCTTCATTTTTTCTAAATGGAGAAACTCTGCCTTATTGTCTCTGCATAATATTCTTGCCACTGATATTCTTGGAAATAACTGCTCATTTTCCCTGAATCGCACCTTTCGTACACTCACACATTCTTCTAATTTCTAGCCCAGAATTTTCTGCCTAATATTAACACTAACACATTGGTTTTATACATAACATTTTCCCTGTCACTCGCGTCTTCTTCGCTTCAACATTTGAAGATCATTCCTCACGAACATGTAAAAGTGTTGGTATCACTATATTCTGCTATATTCTGCTATATTCCTCTTATTTGCTTCTATAGAAAAATTTCTTTCCGCAGACACCTCAATACTCCAATTGCCATTTTTATCCTATTTGCCGACATATGTTCTCCAAATATTTATAGATATTAAACAACTGGTAACACCTTAAGGCCAATGCCTTAATAAAGAACCACAGTCAAACCTGGCAAACCTGAGAATAGTGTTCCGGTACCTCAGTAAGGAATCGTTCAAGACTTTATACACTGTACGTTAGGCATATACTGGAGTACGCAGCACCTGTCTGAAACCCACACCTGGTCAAACACGTCAAGAAATTAGAGAAAGTGCAAAGGTTTGCAGCAAGGCTAGTTCCAGAGCTAAGGGGAATGTTCTATGAAGAAAGGTTAAGGGAAATCGGTCTGACGACACTGGAGGACAGGAGGGTCAGGGGAGACATGATAACGACATACAAAATACTGCGTGGCATAGACAATGTGGACAGAGACAGGATGTTCCAGAGATGGGACACAGAAACAAGGGGTCACAATTGGAAGCTAAAGACTCAGATGAGTCAAAGGGATGTTAGGAAATATTTCTTCAGCCAGAGTTGTTAGGAAGTGGAATAGTCTGGCAAGTGATGTAGTGGAGGCAGGAACCATACATAGTTTTAAGACGAGGTATGATAAAGCTCATGGAGCAGGGAGAGGGAGGACCCAGTAGCGATCAGTGAAGAGGCGGGGCCAGGAGCTGAGTCTCGACCCCTGCAACCACAATTAGGTGAGTACAGTGACATTCAGGTGCTATAAAATTCAGAGGTGAGTAACAGCCTGTGTGACCACAGATGTTGCTCACCCTTAAATAATTCCTTATACTCAAGAGACATGAACTGATTGCTTCTTAAATGTAATTAACCTTAAATAATTCCTTATACTCAAGAGACATGAACATGATTGCTTCTTAATGTTAATTAACCTAAATAATTCCTTATACTCAAGAGACATGAACTGATTGCTTCTTAAATGTAATTAACCTTAAATAATTCCTTATACTCAAGAGACATGAACTGATTGCTTCTTAAATGTAATTAACCTTAAATAATTCCTTATACTCAAGAGACATGAACTGATTGCTTCTTAAATGTAATTAACCTTAAATAATTCCTTATACTCAAGAGACATGAACTGATTGCTTCTTAAATGTAATTAACCTTAAATAATTGCTTATACTCAAGAGACATGAATTGATTGCTTCTTAAATGTAATTAACATGCGGTATATATGTTTTCTTGCCCCGACACAGATACATACTACACATCTCTGCCGCGTGTGAGTACGAGGGGTGTAATGGTTTATTCTAAACATACTATATAATGATGATACTCTACCTCACTAATTAACAGTTTTCCTCGTATAAAGCATGCAGTGGTTGTTTCAATGTCACAGTATCGTATCTTCTCCTGGGAGTTTTCTGACACCTTCATGCACGTACAGATCTCTGAGGAATACATACCCATTGGTCTAGTCTCTAACAGGAAGGACTGTGGACATGACAAGGAAAGATAAGCAAGAAGAGCCTAAGGAATGAAGGTGATTAGATATAAAGGAAGGATTATGGAAGCAGGAAATATTACGTTATGTGAAAATAAAAACATTTCTTGACAACTCATACTCAGTGCTCTGAGTTCTGGGCACTTTGGCCATATTGCTAACACTAAATGTTGGCAGAAAACCAACAATATTAGTAAGTGGGAATGAATGAGTAACAGAATGAATCTGAATGAGAATCTGAATGAGAGGGGATAGGAGAATGGTAAAAGATTAGGTAAAGTGAAATGCTTTATGTTATGACAAGGAGAAATTAATGAATGACGTTATATCGTTGTGTTGATAATAATACGTAGGTCATTGCGTGTAAAAGTTCCTTTAGCCAAAGGCAACGGTGTGTTTATGTGATAACTTGTATAGTTATTTGCCTCTGTTTGGCTGACCGAGTGGATCACTTATGCAGCAAAATACTACAAAGGTTAAGTTACTAAAGTGCTGGAAAGGTCCTGCAAAGGTACAACAATAGATTAGTTATGCTTAAATTATTTCGACTGGCCGGAGATTTCTGTCATTAATACAGTCCCAGAGAGTTCTTTACTGGAATTAGACAACGAATATAGTCATTAAATGTGCACATTCTTTCCCCGAGAAAATAATTTGAAGGACCTGGGAGTGATAATGCCACCTTCAAAGACCACAACAATGTATCTACCGCATCTGCTAGAAAAATGATATGATGGATAATGAGAACCTTCAAAACTAGGGATGCTAAGCCCATGATGATTCTCTTCAAATTGCTTATTCTCTCTAGGCTGGAATAAAGCTATATACTAACTGCCCTCTTCAAGGCAGGCGAAATTGCTGACCTGGAGAGTGTACAAAGAACTTTCACGGACACACAAGTACGATAAAGCACCTAAATTATTGGGAACGGTTGATGGCCCTTCATTTGTATTCCCTGGAATGTAGTTGAGAGAGATACATGATAATATACACTTGGAAATCATAGAGGTATTAGTATCAAACTTGCACACGAAAATCACTCCCTACGAAAGCAAAAGTCTCGGCAGGAGATGCAACATCCCCTTAATGAAAAGCAGAGGCGCCACGAGTACACTGAGAGACAACACGATAAGTGTCAGGGGCCCAAGACTGTTCAACTGCCTCCCAGCATACATAAGGGGGTTACCAATAGACCCCTGGCTGTTTTCAAGAAGGCATTTGACAGGCACCTAAAGTCATTACCTGACAAGTCTGGCTGTGGTTCGGACATCGGGTTGCGTGCGGCCAGCAGTAACAGCCTGGTTGATCAGACCCTGATCCACCACGATGCCTGGTCTCAGACCATGCCGCGGGGGCGTTGACTCCCGGAACCCTCACCAGGTATTCTCCAAGTAATAAGTCGGTTTAACCTCACCTCTAGTGGGACCCGGAATTCTTCCCTAAATCGGACAAATCATTCCAAATTTTTTTTGCCTTGTACTGAAATGGATCTAACTCATAATTTACCTCTTTCTTTCCAGGCTCAAAAAAGGTCCAGCCTACCACTTGGACCTCTTAGTGGTAGCATTAATGAATGGTTTCCTCTCCATCTTCGCCTTACCATGGATGCATGCATGTCTACCACACTCACCTCTGCATGTCCGGTCTCTAGCTGATGTTGAAGAGAGGGTCGAGCAGGGACACGTCTATGAAATGTACGGAGAATTTCTGAAATTATAAACCTAAAATAAATAGGAATATATGTTAATTTCAGAGTAGGAATATATGTCATGTAGCCAGTTTGAAAGATTCAGTGTCGTAGTCTCCCTGTGCCATCTATCTTACACCCGCTCTTACTGCCATCTATCTTACACCCGCTCTTACTGCCATCTATCTTACACCCGCTCTTACTGCCATCTATCTTACACCCGTCTTACTGCCATCTATCTTACACCTGCTCTTACTGCCATCTAATCTTACACCCGCTCTTACTGCCATCTATCTTACACCCGCTCTTACTGCCATCTATCTTACACCTGCTCTTACTGCCATCTATCTTACACCCGCTCTTACTGCCATCTATCTTACACCTGCTCTTACTGCCATCTATCTTACACCCGCTCTTACTGCCATCTATCTTACACCCGCTCTTACTGCCATCTATCTTACACCCGCTCTTACTGCCATCTATCTTACACCTGCTCTTACTACCATCTATCTTACACCCGCTCTTACTGCCATCTATCTTACACCTGCTCTTACTACCATCTATCTTACACCGCTCTTACTGCCATCTATCTTACACCCGCTCTTACTGCCATCTATCTTACACCTGCTCTTACTACCATCTATCTTACACCTGCTCTTACTACCATCTATCTTACACCCGCTCTTACTACCATCTATCTACACCCGCTCTTACTGCCATCTATCTTACACCCGCTCTTACTGCCATCTATCTTACACCCCTCTTACTGCCATCTATCTTACACCCGCTCTTACTGCCATCTATCTTACACCTGCTCTTACTACCATCTATCTTACACCCGCTCTTACTGCCATCTATCTTACACCTGCTCTTACTACCATCTATCTTACACCCGCTCTTACTACCATCTATCTTACACCGCTCTTACTGCCATCTATCTTACACCTGCTCTTACTGCCATCTATCTTACACCTGCTCTTACTGCCATCTATCTTACACCCGCTCTTACTGCCATCTATCTTACACCCGCTCTTACTGCCATCTATCTTACACCCGCTCTTACTGCCATCTATCTTACACCCGCTCTTACTGCCATCTATCTTACACCTGCTCTTACTACCATCTATCTTACACCCGCTCTTACTGCCATCTATCTTACACCTGCTCTTACTACCATCTATCTTACACCCGCTCTTACTACCATCTATCTTACACCGCTCTTACTGCCATCTATCTTACACCCGCTCTTACTGCCATCTATCTTACACCCGCTCTTACTGCCATCTATCTTACACCCGCTCTTACTGCCATCTATCTTACACCCGCTCTTACTGCCATCTATCTTACACCTGCTCTTACTGCCATCTATCTTACACCCGCTCTTACTGCCATCTATCTTACACCTGCTCTTACTACCATCTATCTTACACCCGCTCTTACTGCCATCTATCTTACACCTGCTCTTACTGCCATCTATCTTACACCCGCTCTTACTGCCATCTATCTTACACCTGCTCTTACTGCCATCTATCTTACCCCGCTCTTACTGCCATCTATCTTACACCCGCTCTTACTGCCATCTATCTTACACCCGCTCTTACTGCCATCTATCTTACACCCGCTCTTACTGCCATCTATCTTACACCTGCTCTTACTGCCATCTATCTTACACCCGCTCTTACTGCCATCTATCTTACACCTGCTCTTACTGCCATCTATCTTACACCCGCTCTTACTGCCATCTATCTTACACCGCTCTTACTGCCATCTATCTTACACCCGCTCTTACTGCCATCTATCTTACACCCGCTCTTACTGCCATCTATCTTACACCCGCTCTTACTGCCATCTATCTTACACCTGCTCTTACTACCATCTATCTTACACCCGCTCTTACTGCCATCTATCTTACACCTGCTCTTACTACCATCTATCTTACACCCGCTCTTACTGCCATCTATCTTACACCCGCTCTTACTGCCATCTATCTTACACCTGCTCTTACTACCATCTATCTTACACTGCTCTTACTACCATCTATCTTACAAACGCTCTTACTACCATCTATCTTACACCGCTCTTACTGCCATCTATCTTACACCCGCTCTTACTGCCATCTATCTTACACCCGCTCTTACTGCCATCTATCTTACACCGCTCTTACTGCCATCTATCTTACACCTGCTCTTACTACCATCTATCTTACACCCGCTCTTACTGCCATCTATCTTACACCTGCTCTTACTACCATCTATCTTACACCCGCTCTTACTACCATCTATCTTACACCCGCTCTTACTGCCATCTATCTTACACCTGCTCTTACTGCCATCTATCTTACACCTGCTCTTACTGCCATCTATCTTACACCCGCTCTTACTGCCATCTATCTTACACCCGCTCTTACTGCCATCTATCTTACACCCGCTCTTACTGCCATCTATCTTACACCCGCTCTTACTGCCATCTATCTTACACCTGCTCTTACTACCATCTATCTTACACCCTCTTACTGCCATCTATCTTACACCTGCTCTTACTACCATCTATCTTACACCCGCTCTTACTACCATCTATCTTACACCCGCTCTTACTGCCATCTATCTTACACCCGCTCTTACTGCCATCTATCTTACACCCGCTCTTACTGCCATCTATCTTACACCCGCTCTTACTGCCATCTATCTTACACCCGCTCTTACTGCCATCTATCTTACACCTGCTCTTACTGCCATCTATCTTACCCGCTCTTACTGCCATCTATCTTACACCTGCTCTTACTACCATCTATCTTACACCCGCTCTTACTGCCATCTATCTTACACCTGCTCTTACTGCCATCTATCTTACACCCGCTCTTACTGCCATCTATCTTACACTGTCTTACTGCTCTATCCACGCTTACTGCCATCTATCTTACACCGCTCTTACTGCCATCTATCTTACACCCGCTCTTACTGCCATCTATCTTACACCGCTCTTACTGCCATCTATCTTACACCGCTCTTACTGCCATCTATCTTACACCGCTCTTACTGCCATCTATCTTACACCGCTCTTACTGCCATCTATCTTACACCTGCTCTTACTGCCATCTATCTTACACCTGCTCTTACTGCCATCTATCTTACACCCGCTCTTATCATGTCTCATTACTACATCTTACTACCCTGCTCTTACTGCCATCTATCTTACACCGCTCTTACTGCCATCTATCTTACACCCGCTCTTACTGCCATCTATCTTACACCTGCTCTTACTGCCATCTATCTTACACCTGCTCTTACTGCCATCTATCTTACACCCGCTCTTACTGCCATCTATCTTACACCTGCTCTTACTACCATCTATCTTACACCTGCTCTTACTGCCATCTATCTTACACCTGCTCTTACTGCCATCTATCTTACACCTGCTCTTACTACCATCTATCTTACACCTGCTCTTACTGCCATCTATCTTACACCGCTCTTACTGCCATCTATCTTACACCCGCTCTTACTGCCATCTATCTTACACCCGCTCTTACTGCCATCTATCTTACACCCCAATCTTAACTCTACTGCCATCTATCTTACACCCGCTCTTACTGCCATCTATCTTACACCGCTCTTACTACCATCTATCTTACACCTGCTCTTACTGCCATCTATCTTACACCTGCTCTTACTACCATCTATCTTACACCGCTCTTACTACCATCTATCTTACACCTGCTCTTACTGCCATCTATCTTACACCTGCTCTTACTGCCATCTATCTTACACCGCTCTTACTGCCATCTATCTTACACCCGCTCTTACTGCCATCTATCTTACACCCGCTCTTACTGCCATCTATCTTACACCCGCTCTTACTGCCATCTATCTTACACCGCTCTTACTGCCATCTATCTTACACCTGCTCTTACTACCATCTATCTTACACCTGCTCTTACTGCCATCTATCTTACACCTGCTCTTACTGCCATCTATCTTACACCTGCTCTTACTACCATCTATCTTACACCTGCTCTTACTGCCATCTATCTTACACCCGCTCTTACTGCCATCTATCTTACACCTGCTCTTACTGCCATCTATCTTACACCCGCTCTTACTGCCATCTATCTTACACCCGCTCTTACTGCCATCTATCTTACACCTGCTCTTACTGCCATCTATCTTACACCCGCTTTACTTTACTGCCAGCATCTATCTTACACCTGCTCTTACTACTCCTATCTATCCTTTACACCTGCTCTTACTGCCATCTATCTTACACCGCTCTTACTGCCATCTATCTTACACCCGCTCTTACTGCCATCTATCTTACACCTGCTCTTACTGCCATCTATCTTACACCTGCTCTTACTAGCCATCTATCTTACACCCTGCTCTTACTGCCATCTATCTTACACCGCTCTTACTGCCATCTATCTTACACCCGCTCTTACTGACCATCTATCTTACACCTGCTCTTACTGCCATCTATCTTACACCTGCTCTTACTGCCATCTATCTTACACCTGCTCTTACTGCCATCTATCTTACACCTGCTCTTACTGCCATCTATCTTACACCGCTCTTACTGCCATCTATCTTACACCTGCTCTTACTGCCATCTATCTTACACCGCTCTTACTGCCATCTATCTTACACCTGCTCTTACTGCCATCTATCTTACACCTGCTCTTACTGCATCTATCTTACACCCGCTCTTACTGCCATCTATCTTACACCTGCTCTTACTGCCATCTATCTTACACCCGCTCTTACTGCCATCTATCTTACACCCGCTCTTACTGCCATCTATCTTACACCCGCTCTTACTGCCATCTATCTTACACCCGTTACTCCTCTACTACACGTCTACTGCTCTATCTTACCCGCTCTTACTGCCATCTATCTTACACCCGCTCTTACTGCCATCTATCTTACACCCGCTCTTACTGCCATCTATCTTACACCCGCTCTTACTGCCATCTATCTTACACCGCTCTTACTGCCATCTATCTTACACTGCTCTTACTGACTATCTTATCATTACACCCGCTCTTACTGCCATCTATCTTACACCCTGCTCTTACTGCCACATCTATTCTTACACCATCTCTTACCCCCTTACGCATCTATCTTACACCCGCTCTTACTGCCATCTATCTTACACCTGCTCTTACTGCCATCTATCTTACACCTGCTCTTACTAGCCATCTATCTTACACCTGCTCTTACTGCCATCTATCTTACACCCGTCTTACTGCCATCTATCTTACACCTGCTCTTACTGCCATCTATCTTACACCTGCTCTTACTGCCATCTATCTTACACCCGCTCTTACTGCCATCTATCTTACACCTGCTCTTACTGCCATCTATCTTACACCCGCTCTTACTGCCATCTATCTTACACCTGCTCTTACTACCATCTATCTTACACCTGCTCTTACTGCCATCTATCTTACACCTGCTCTTACTGCCATCTATCTTACACCTGCTCTTACTACCATCTATCTTACACCTGCTCTTACTGCCATCTATCTTACACCGCTCTTACTGCCATCTATCTTACACCGCTCTTACTGCCATCTATCTTACACCTGCTCTTACTGCCATCTATCTTACACCGCTCTTACTGCCATCTATCTTACACCTGCTCTTACTGCCATCTATCTTACACCGCTCTTACTGCCATCTTATCTTACACCTCATCTTACGCCATCTATCTTACACCCGCTCTTACTGCCATCTATCTTACACCTGCTCTTACTGCCATCTATCTTACACCTGCTCTTACTACCATCTATCTTACACCTGCTCTTACTGCCATCTATCTTACACCGCTCTTACTGCCATCTATCTTACACCTGCTCTTACTGCCATCTATCTTACACCTGCTCTTACTGCCATCTATCTTACACCGCTCTTACTGCCATCTATCTTACACCTGCTCTTACTGCATTCTATCTTACACCGCTCTTACTGCCATCTATCTTACACCTGCTCTTACTGCCATCTATCTTACACCCGCTCTTACTGCCATCTATCTTACACCTGCTCTTACTGCCATCTATCTTACACCTGCTCTTACTGCCATCTATCTTACACCTGCTCTTACTGCCATCTATCTTACACCTGCTCTTACTGCCATCTATCTTACACCGCTCTTACTGCCATCTATCTTACACCTGCTCTTACTGCCATCTATCTTACACCGCTCTTACTGCCATCTATCTTACACCTGCTCTTACTGCCATCTATCTTACACCGCTCTTACTGCCATCTATCTTACACCCGCTCTTACTGCCATCTATCTTACACCCGCTCTTACTGCCATCTATCTTACACCTGCTCTTACTGCCATCTATCTTACACCTCGCTCTTACTGCCATCTATCTTACACCGCTCTTACTGCCATCTATCTTACACCCGCTCTTACTGCCATCTATCTTACACCTGCTCTTACTGCCATCTATCTTACACCTGTCTTACTGCCATCTATCTTACACCTGTCTTACTGCCATCTATCTTACACCTGCTCTTACTGCCATCTATCTTACACCTGCTCTTACTGCCATCTATCTTACACCTGCTCTTACTGCCATCTATCTTACACCTGCTCTTACTGCCATCTATCTTACACCTGCTCTTACTCCATCTATCTTACACCTGCTCTTACTGCCATCTATCTTACACCCCTTACTGCCATCTATCTTACACCGCTCTTACTGCCATCTATCTTACATCTGATCTTACTGCCATCTATTCTTACACTGCCTCTCTTCATTATCTTTTACCTGTCTTACTAGCCATCTATTTACATCTGACTCTATGCCACTTATCTTACACCTGCTCTTTATCCATTATCTTACACCAGCTCTTACTTGCCATTCTATCTTACACTGGACCTCTATACCTCTATTCTTCACCGCTCTTATGCCATACATCTTTACCGCCATTGATATTTTTAAATCTGTCTTTACCCCCAACATCTTCACGCACTACTTACGCCATTCTAATTCGATTCCGTCTTACATGGGCCATTACTATAATCTGAAAATGACACTGACAGATTAGCTTTCAGTACTTTTAACATCCAACTGTTTTAAGCGACAAATTTACAGATCTAGTTAGATGCCATTATAATCTCATACAGACAGCTTAACTTTATTTAATCAAATATGTTTAGGTTCCATACAAATTAATTCATTAATGAATAAAATTGAAGTTGATTTGCCATTACTAAAATACAGTGCTTACGAATTAACTATTCACAGTCCTTACACTGCACCATCTTCACTGACGTTCAGGGTTTATTTGACGTAAGCTAATATCTCTATATGCTTTGTAACCATCTATTTTCTTATAACTAGCAATTACGAAAGTGCTATTAACGTCTTTTTACACGTGTTGTTACTGCATCTATATTACCGTACTGTCTTACACACACACATACCAAACACTCCACAACTACACATCTTAAACAAACCTTAGACATCATAAAACAACATCACACATATTATATATAATTCGCCGAATTTAAAATCATGGCTTAGCAGAACTCTTAAAATTAAGTCTTCTAAATCTGCTCTTATGCAGTTTAGTTAATGTTTCATTTATGAATTAAATTACCATTTATGCACATTATCTTAAAAACTCTCTTATGCTTATTATAACAAGAACAATTTATTTTAGCCTAACCTAATTAAATATATTTTAGATTTGTTTACAATAATTTAATACTAAACAAGCACAGTGAAATATATTTTTTCGTTAGGTTCAGAATGATTTTGGCGAAGCTATTGCATACACAAATTTTCATTTGTCCTATATGGCAAGATGAACGTTGCTATTTAAGCCAAGATCGCAAGTTCTGCCTGTTCGGCACGACATTATATATATATATATATATATATAATATATATATATATATATATATATATATATATATATATATATAACATATATATATATATATATATATGTATATGTATATATATATATATATATATATATATATATATATATATATATATATATATATATATATATATATATATATATATATATATACAGTGTGTGTGTTTGTGTGTATATATACAGCAATATGTTTAATAAAACTGCAACCTGTTATGAAATAATATATACATAAAATACTTGTCATTAACCCTATGTTTAATAAATCATTCAGCACCTGTATTTGAATTTTAGTAATTTATCAGAGGTTTAACACAAGCAACCCGCACATAGGAGAAAGAAACTTACGATGACGTTTTGTTTCGGTCTGACTTGGACCATTTACAAAGTCACTTTGTAAATGGTTCAAGTCGGACTGAAACCTGGTAGCAAACTTCTCCTTCCTGTACGCGGGTTGTTTGTGTTGTTCCAGCCTCGGTATTGTGTCTTTTAGCGCTTTATCACAACTTACTGTAATTTTTAACAGAATCGTGAAGGTGCGGGAGACTCGCTTGACTGGACTCTTCTCCAATATCCTCATCGGGTTATCCATCTTCTTGTTACCTTATCCTCTGGCCTATATTCCAACAGCAGTGCTTGATGGCCTCTTCCTTTATATGGCTGTTACTGCACTTAATGGAAACCAAATGTTTGAGCGTATATCACTGCTTTTTATGGAACAGGTATGATCAGTCCTAACATTAGCCTTAAGGTTTTTATTTATTTGTTTTTTTATTCACTAGATATGCACTAGCGTTAAGGCAGACTGCTTATAGCAAATTATTAAATTTATGGAAGATGCAAAACCTGTGAAGTCATTTAGCATTATGCTACAGGTGGAAGGAATGGTAGAAGGCTTAGATAATGAGAGAAAATGGAAAGTGGGTAAAGGAGGGAAGAGAATTAGTTAATGTAGGGAATCATTATCATTTAGGAGAGTGTTGAGGAGTGCAAGTGACCTATCATGGGAACATGTGCATAATCTGACCCAGCTGCTGTACCTGGTCTTTTTAACAATGATGATTATAATAATATTTATTTCTATTAAGTTACATAATAAAATTAATGCAGGAAGAGTCGACATTTTTGTCATACTTTATAGCAGCCATTGATTAAAAATGCTTTCAAATGAGCTGATGTAGGTAACAGCTATTAGCTTGCCAATAAAGTTAGGAATCCTTAACCTGTAATATAGCTGTCAATAAAGCTAGGGATCCTTAACCTTGTCAAACCCTGTGTAAAAAAAAAAAAAAAAAAAAAAAAAAAAAAAAAAAAAAAAAAAAAAAAAAAAAAAAGAGCATTTGGGGCCGATTTAAAATTAAGTTAAAACCACAAATATTTTTTGTATTAAGTTGGTTTACTTGAATTCTAAAAGTTTACAATCACTGATATTAACTCCAACAATCTGGATTATTTTTATCAGGACAGTTTGTTATAATGTTTGTAGTAGTTGTGACGTACAGACATAAACTGCTGATAGTGACAATAACAATATGAATATTCTTATGACTTACATAAACAAGGATGATATTGATAAATTGTGTTTTAACATAGTAATTACTTTATTCAGAATTTAGGTCAGGGGAAGGTGATTTTTTTAATATGAAGCAGGTGGCAGATTGGGAACATTTTACGTTTCCTGGAAGAGAATTTTCAAATTTTAGGGACCTTGATTCGCATGGAGTTCCTAAATAGGTTGATAGGTTAGAAAGGTTGACACTAGTAATGAATGTTCAAGGATTGTGAAAGGTATACTTGGATAAGTGCATCATTATCAATATAGACTAATGCATCAGGTAAATATTTTAAGTGTAAAGTTGAACTGAATTCAATGATTGTCCAGTATTTTCATAATTAGTTTATAATCCTGTACATAAAATAAAATCAAAGCACACTATAAATACAGTATTCAAAATATTAAAATTTTCTTTAAAAAATTAATAATAATAATAAGAAATGGGTTGGAGGGATGATAAAATTGTACGAAATTTCCTTGACTTACGTAACTAATCAATTACTTTATATAAAATGAAAGACACAGTTTAAATCCTTTACTACCGACGTTTTGTCTGTTTCAGGCAGCATATCCACCTAATCACTACATCAGACGAGTCCCTCAGCGCAAAATCCATAAGTTCACAGGACTACAAGTTGTTCAGTTGCTAGTAATGTGTTCCCTAGGGTTTGCTCCTTGGCCATATCTCAAGATGATGTTTCCAGTTGCCCTCCTCCTCCTCCTACCTATCAGGTGACTGTAAATATATACTTTCGTTAATATATATTCATATTTTAACACTTATATTTAACAGCAGTAGGATGGTGGACAGCAACCACCCAGGGAGGTACTACAGTCGTGTGGTAGTGGGTTGGTGGACAGCAACCACCCAGGGAGGTACTACAGTCGTGTGGTAGTGGGTTGGTGGACAGCAACCACCCAGGGAGGTACTACCGTCGTGTGGTAGTGGGTTGGTAGACAGCAACCACCCAGGGAGGTACTACCGTCGTGTGGTAGTGGGTTGGTGGACAGCAACCACCCAGGGAGGTACTACCGTCGTGTGGTAGTAGGTTGGTAGACAGCAACCACCCAGGGGAGTACTTCTGTCTGCCAAATGAGTGTAAGACAGGAACCTGTATTTGTTTTACATGATGGTAGGAGTGCTGATGTCTTTTTTCTGTCTCATAGAAACACAAGATAACAGATATATCTTATTCATTTACTTACAGTGTATGCATTTATGTATACACACTCACCTAAGTTTTCCTTGCTTTTTCTTAATAGTTCTTGTTCTTATCATTTACCTTCCATATCTGTAAGGAAGTGGAATAAAAAATTTTCCTCCATAAGTCATGCGTGTTGCAAGAGTCAACTAAAATGCTGGGAGCAATGGCTTAGTAACCTTTTTCCCGTACAGCGTACTAAAAAGAAAAAGAAATTTTCTATATAGGATGTTTGAATGTGCGTGGATGTAGTGTGGATGATAAGAAAGAGAAGATTGTGGATGTTATGAATGAAAAGAGGCTGGATGTCCTGGCTCTAAGTGAAACAAAGCTAAAAGGGGTAGAAGAGCTTCAGCGGGGAGAAATAAATGGGATTAGGTCAGGGTTTTTTAATAGAGTTAGAGCTAAGGAAGGAGTAGAATAAAATAAAGGATCACTTATGGCAGGAACAGAAGGAATATAAATGTATAAATTCGAGGATTATGTTAGAGTAAAATAAGGGTCGGATGTGTAAAGTGGGTGACAGAGAAGACTGAAGTGTAAAGAGAGAGAGAGAGAGAGAGAGAGAGAGAGAGAGAGAGAGGAGAGAGAGGAGGAGAGAGAGAGAGAGAGAGAGAGAGAGAGGAGAGAGAGAGAGAGAGAGAGAGGAGAGAGAGAAGAGATTAAGGAGATGTTGAGTGCATAGGGAGTTTTGAACCAAGTGAGAGAGTGCTTGTGGTGGAGGGCCTAAATGCTAAAGTGGGTAAAATTGTTATGGAGGGAGTAGTAGGTAGGTTTGGGATGCCAGGGGTAAATGAAAATGGGGAGCCTTTAATTGAGCTATGTGTAAAAAGAGGTTTGGTAATAAGTAATACATATTTTATGAAAAGAGGATAAACAAGTATACAAGATTTGATATAACACGTAATGAAAGTAGTTTGTTACATTATGTATTGGTGGATGAAAGGTTGATGGGTAGACTTCAGGATGTACATGTTTATAGAGGGGCAACAAATAAATCGGATCATTATTTAGTTGTAGCTACAGTTAGATTAAGAGATAGATGGGACAAAAGGAAAAATGGCAGCAATAAGTAAGAGAAAGGTGAAAACTTTACAATGGAGGAGGAAGTTAGGTGAAATATAAGCAACTACTGGGAGGACGATGGGCTAATGAGAGTATAGTAAGTGTGGGGGATGAAGAGGGCCGGGATAGTTTTAAAAAGGTATTTTTAGAATGCGAGCCAGAAGTTTGTGGCTATAGGAGGGTGGGTACAGGAGGAGTGACTGCTGGAATGATGAGATAAAGGGTGTGATAAGAGAGAAAAACGTTGCCCATGAGATATTTCTACAAAGCAGAAGTGATACAAGAAGGGTGGAGTATATGACGAGTAAAACAGAGCTGAAGACAGTGGTGAGGGAATGCAAAAAGGAAGGCAAATGACAGGAGGTACTATCAACAAATTTTACTGATAATAAGAAAAAAATTGGATTGAGGTAAATAGGTTAAGAAAGCCTAAGGAATGAATGAATTTGATAGTTAACAACAGAATATGGAGTTAGTAGATGGGGCGTTGGAGGTATTGGGAAGATGGTGGGAATATTTTGAGGAACTATTAAATGTTGATGAAGAGGAGGAGGCAGTAATTTCATGCATTGGTCAGGGAGGTATAACATCTTTTAGGAGTGAAGAAGAGCCGGATGTGAATGTGGGGGAGGTGCATAAGGCATTAGGTAGAATGAAAAAGGGTAAAGCAGGATGGAACTGATGGGATCATGACAGATGTGTTACAAGCAGAGGGGGGATATTATTTTGGAGTGGTTGGTACTTTTGTTTACTTGGAGTTTACCTGGAGAGGGCTTCGGGGGTCAACGCCCCCGCGGCCCGGTCTGAAACCAGACCTCATGGTGGATCAGGGTCTGATCAACCAGGCTGCTACTGCTGACCGCACGCAAGCTGATGTACGAACCACAGCCCGGTTGGTCAGGTATTGACTTTAGGTGTCTGTCCAGTGCCTTCTTGAAGACAGCTAGGGGTCTATTGGTAATCTACCTTATCTATGCTGTGAGGTAATTGAACAGTCTTGGGTCCTGGACACCTATTGTATTGTCTTTCAGTGTACCCGTGGCTCCCCTGCTTTTCATCGGGGGAATGTTGCATCTCCTGCCGAGTCTTTTGCTTTCATAGGGAGTGATTTTCGTGTGCAGGTTTGGTACCAATCCCTCCAGGACCTTTCAAGTGTATATTATCATGTGTCTCTCTCGCCTGCATTCGAGGGAATACAGATCAAGGACCTTCAACCATTCCAAATAGTTTAGGTGCCTTATTGTACTTATGTGTGCCTTGAAAGTTCTTTGTACACTCTCCAGGTCTGCAATGCCTCCAGCCTTGAAGGGGGCCTTAGTATATAGCAGTATTCCAGCCTAGAGAGCACAAGTGATTTGAAGAGAATCATCATGGGCTTGGCATCCCTAGTTTTGAAGGTTCTCATTATCCATCCTATCATTTTCCTAGCGGATGAGGTCGATACTTTGTTGTGGTCTTTGAAGGCGAGAACCTCTGACATTAACACTCCCAGGTCCTTCACATTACTTTTCTGCTCTATTGTATGGTTAGAATTTGTTGTATACCCTGACACATTTTTAATTTCTTCAAGTTTCCCATGTCTGAGTAGTTGAAATTTCTCCTCGTTGAACTTCATATTGTTTTGAGTGGCCCATTCGAAGATTTGGTTGATGTCCGCTTGGAGTCTCGCGGTGTCTTCGATAGAGGTCACTGCAATGGTAATCCGGGTGTCATTCGCAAAGGAAGACACGGAGCTATGGCTTACATCTCTGTCTATGTCAGAAATGAGAATGAGGAATAGAATGGGAACGAGTACTGTGCCTTGTGGAACAGAGCTTTTTACCGTGGCTGCCTGGGACTTTACTCTGTTTACTGTTACTCTTTGTGTTCTATTTGTCAAGAAGTTGTAGATCCATCTACCAACTTTTCCCGTTATTCCTTTATCACGAATTTTGTGTGCTATTAGACCATGGTCACACTTGCTGAAAGCTTTTGCAAAGTCTGTGTATACTACATTTGTATTTTGTTTATCCTCTGCAGCATCCAGGACCTTGTCATAGTGGTCCAGTAGCTGGGACAGGCAGGACCGACCTACTCTAAACCCGTGTTGCACTGGGTTGTGTAATTGATGGGTATCTAGGTGGTTGGCGATCTTGCTTCTTAGAACCCTCTCAAAGATTTTTATATGGGATGTTAGTGCTATCGGTCTGTAGTTCTTTGCAATTGCTTTACTGCCACCTTTGTGGAGTAGGGCTATGTCTGTTGTTTTTAGTGTGTGTGGGATGACCCCTGTGTCCATGCTCCCTCTCCATAAAATGCTGAAGGCACGCGATAGGGGCTTCTTGCAATTCTTGATGAACACGGAGTTCCACGAGTCTGGGCCTGGGGCAGAGTGCATGGGCATGTCATTAATTGCCTCTTCGTCATTGTTAGTGAAGATGAGGTCCAGCGCATTTTCTAGTCTTATAGGCTCTACTATTTGCTGATTCAATGAATGTGTGGAAGAGGAGAAGGTACCAAGGGATTGGCAGAGACGGATAGAGGGATGGGTGGCAAAAGAGACTTTAAAATTATAGGGAAATAAGTTTACTGAGTATACCAAATAAGGTGAATGGTAGGGTTATTACTGATAGAATTAGAGGTAAAACAGAGAGCTGGATTGCAGATGAACATGGAGGCTTTAGAAAGGGTAGGGGATGTGTAGATCAAGTGTTTACTTTGAAGCATTTAAATGAACAACATTTAGATAAAGGTAGGGGAGTTTTCATTGCATTTACGGGTTTATGATGGAGAAGATAGGAGAGCAATGTGGCAGATGTTGCAAATGTATGGAAGAGGTAGTAAGTTACTAAATGCTGTAAAGAGATTTTATGAGGATAGTGAGGCTCAGGTTAGGGTGTATAAGAGAGAGGAAGACTACTTTCCAGTAAAAGTAGGCCTTAGACAGGGATGTATAATGTCACCATGCATAGTGTGGTGTAAATATTATGCAGAAAATTCGTAGTGTGGAAATTAGGAGGAAGTGTGGAGTTACTAAAAGTATTGTTCAGAGGGCTGAAATAGGGTGTATAAATCTGTAGTGAAAGGGAGGAAGGGTAGGAGTCGTCCTATGAAAGCATGGAGAGATGGATAAAAGAGGTTTTGTGTGCAAGGGGCCTTGACATGCAGCAGGCATGTATGAATGTGTTACTTAAGAGTGAATGGAAACGAATGGTTTTTGGGACCTGACGAGCTGTTGAAGTGAGCAGGGAAATATTTTTTGAAGGGATTCAGGAAACCGGTTAGCCGGACTTAAGTCCCGGATATGGGAAGTACAATGCCTCCACTTTAAAGGAGGGTTTTGGGATATTGGCTGTTTGGAGTGACATCTAAATTGTCACATCGGGGCACCTCTACAAAGACAGTGATTTTGTGTGAATGATGGTGAAAGTGTTTCTTTTTTGGGTCACATTGCCTCGATGGAAGACGGCCGACGTGTTGAAAAAAAAAACAGTCTAAAAGTTATCTTACCTCGGATTTTTTCAAAGCCCAGCCGTATCTAAGACAACTCCCACCCTGGAGGTGCGACCCACTATATCGACTAACACCTAGGTGCCTGCCTAATGTTAGGTGAACAGGAGCTGCAGGTGAAGTGAAACTTATCCTCATGTCTCAGCTTAGAAATCAGTCTTGGGCGTTTTCTAACCCCTCACCCCCCCCCCCTCAAACTATAGATCATAGCACATGCTGCCTTAATTGAAGTTTTTCCTAATTTCAGTGTTCTATAAACTAGTGGGGGACTCTTAGGACTGTTTTTTGTAATTTCTAACTGCTGCACCTACCACAGCAGTCACCACAGCAATGTTTAAAAACCAAATTAACTCACTTCATCCATCATAAAGAGGGGAAATACTTTTTTCTTTCTGGCGGTGTGGTATTTACTCCAAAGGTTACTTTGGGACGATAGTAAATGCTTTCTGACCCGGTGTAAAAAAGAGTACCCCTTGGGCGTGGGGGGGTTTTTTGGAGACATAAAAAAAAAACTTGGGGTTGCTTCCCAGTCTGCTGAAAATTGATGATAATTTTGTTTATCTTTGCTCGAGTCTGTTTTTTTAAAGAAATTTATATAAAATGTAATATTTCTTTTCCCCTTAAATAAAATATATGATTGTTGGTCTGTTAAATTTTTTTTAAAGAATTAAACACTGTTACACATATGTTTAATTCTTATATTGTCAGTTTTTTTTTAACCATCCATTAAAAGGTTATTTTCGCTATTTGGAACTTGAATGGTGTGAACTTTAATGGTTTTAAATTATCTACTTAAATGCAAATCTCCTTCCAATAATTGTTTCTACATTTTGCAGTTTTTAAAATGTTACTTGTAATACACTTACTTAGTAAATTTGTTACACAAATGACATGGTAACTTTTGTAAAGTGATTAATGTTTTGGGCCCATTCAGTAAAAGGATGGAAGAGGCTCGACCCTGGTTTGCAAAGGAAAAATAAACAAAACAACACCCCCACACACACACCAAAAACCCCACAACACACCCACACCACAACACACACACACACACCACAACACACACACACACCCCACCCAAACACACACACACAGCAAGACTGGATTTGTGTTCACCCTGAGCAGTTCGAATTTGGGACATCATTCGAGGGCCCCCTTGGGCTAGGTCATGTGGTTCTGGGGTTTGTATATAGTAGAGTTACAAGTGGAGAAGGTAACAGGAAGGAAGGGGACAGGCCAAACTAAAAAGGGGGGGGGCTACAGGTTGGGAGAAACTTCCTGAGGGGTTCAGGGGGGGACAGAAAAAAGGGTGGAAAACGAAAAACGAGATGTGGAATATGTGGCAACAAGTGCAAGGAGGCAGAGGAAAGTTTTTTTCCCAAAGGGAAACAGAAAAAATAGGAAGACCAAGACGAGTCCTTGGTTTACCCGAAGGTGTGGGAGGCAAAAACTAAGTGCAACAGAAAAGGGAAAAGGTACGGGGGCATAGGCCCCGGGAAAAACAAGGAGATTAGTAGGACCCGGGAAAGGTATGCGCGATAAGGAGGGAGGCCCGCGCCCAGTATGAAAAGACATAGCATCGAAAGTAAAAATCTGCCCCCGAAATGCTGTATAGCCACATTAGGAAGAAACAACAGTCGGGGACAGGTGAAAGGTGAGGGAAAGAAGGTGGGAACTCAAAAAGAAACGATCAAGGGTTTTGGGAGTCAACACGAGATTTAAGGGTATTTCAGTAGAGACGGGGAAGGACTCTGGGGGGACAGACAGTGGGGCCCCAAAAAGGGAATACACCAAAAAGGTTGGAGAATACTACAGTGAGGGGAGGTGAAAAAAAAAAACTGAAAGGGACATCGATCCTCAAAGGCAATGGGGGACCGGACAAATTCCCATGGGCCCTTTAGAGGGGGCAGATATGTTGTGCGTACCACTTCCAAAATCTCAACAATCCCGGAAAGGGCAACTTACCAGGTAGGAAAGACAGCAAATGTTTTCCCCCATTTTCAAAAAGGAGACAGAAAAGAGGCCAAAATTTTGCCTGTGTCATTGACGTGTATAGATGAAAAATTTGGAGAAGATTTTCAGGAGGAGAGTGGTGGAAACCCTGGAACGAACAGGGTTAAAATCCCAAAGCACGGATTCACGGAAGGCAAAATCCTGTTCAAAACTTTGGAGTTTTTTGTAAAATAACAAAAGTAAGAAAGGAGAGAGGGGTGGGTTGATTGCATCTTTTGGATGCAAAAAAGGGCCCTTTGACAAAGTTCCTCCGGGGAAATTAGTGCAGAACCCAGGCATCAGGGATATAACAGGAAGGGCACTGCAAGGTCAGGTTTCCCTGACAGGGAGGCCCCCAACAAACGATTTTCATGGTACTTTAAATGATGTATCACAGGGGGCCCCCTGTGACGAGCGGGGGTCCCACAGGGGTCGGTCCTAGGCCCAGTGCTTTTTTTGGTAAATGTAAAACGACTGACGGAAGGGTTAGACTCAGAAGTGTCCCTTTTTTGCAGTTGATGTGAAGTTAATGAGGAGAAATTAAATTGATGAGGACCGCTAGATTAGGACTTGCTCAGGAATGGCCACCTGTTCAAAAAAATGGCTTCTCAAATTTTATCTGACCAATTTTTCAAAGCCAGCCATCTGGGGAAAGCCCCCCCAGAAGCGACAGAGTATATAGTGGCTACAAGGTGCAAACCTAATTAAAGGATGAAAGATCTTGGGGTGAGTATAAACTGATCATTGTCTCCGAAGCACACATCAATCGAGTTCTACCCTACCCCCCGCCCCTCAAATAGATCATAGACATGCTGCCTATTGAAGTTTTCCAATTCAGGCAAACTAGTGGGGGACTCAGGACTGTTTTTTTTCTCACGGCCTACCCGCAGTCAACAGCAGGTTAAAACCAAATTACAACTTTGACATCATATGAGAGAGGATATTTTTCTGGCGTAGTGGTAGTTACTCAGGTTCATTGGACGACGAATGCTTTCGACACCGGATGTAAATGATAGCCCGAGTTGGTGGATAGTGCAGACAAAAGATTGAGGGTCACAGCTCTGCGTATTGATGATACATTTTTTTATTTTGCTCGATGTTTGTTTTATTAGAAATGATTATCTATGTAATTCTCTATTCTTAATAATATTAAGGGAAATCGGCCTGATCGAACATGGAGTACTGGAGGGTAGGAGAGACATGATACGACATATTAATCATACTGCGTGGAATTAGACACGATACAAGACAGGTTGTTTTCCAGTGGAAGGGGGACACAGATACAAGAGGCCACATTGGAGTTGAAGACACAATAGAGTCAGAGAGCTCACGTAAAAAATTTCTTCAGTTCATGGTTTAAATGTCATGTGTAATAGCCTAGAAATGACGTAAGTGGAGGCAGGTAACATTAAGTTTAATCAGTGTTTGGATAAAGTACATGGAGCGTGGAAGAGGCCGTCTAGGGTTTAGTGCAAACAGTGAAGAGGCACGGGGACCAGGAGCCAGGACTCACCCCTAGCAAAACCACAAATAAAGAGTACAAAGGTGAGTCACACACATACAACTGCATATTCATTGTAAAAATTCTATAAAAATTATTAACAATGGTTTGATATTTACAGGCACAAGTTAGTTCCATTGGTGATCGAAGACAAGTACCTAGCAGCACTGGATGGTGAGCACCAGTAATACGACCATCCTCAGCTCATGTCTAAGTTCGTGTAATCACAGTGAAGTTCTGTGAGTTAGGAGAACTTCACATGGTTATTAAGTTTGTGCGACCACCATCAACTTCACACAGCCTGAGCAACCTCATGTGACCTTCATCTGTAAATGACCTCACCAGCAGCAAATATGACCCAAATGTTAAGGCATCTGACACCAATGCGATCACATGTTCTACACATACAATCATTATATGGTTAGCCAACCTCATAGTCAGTGAGTGTAGCTCACTATTGCATAATCAGTTTGTATGCAATGCATAGCCTGTTTTAGTAGCTAATAAGTTTTATGAAAAATTTCATGTGGGATGACTAGATATTAATAGGGAATATATATTCATTATATTATAATATATTACAGTGTGTGTATTTTATAGCATATATATTATATATATATATATATATATATATATATATATATATATATATATATATATATATATATATATATATATATATATATGTATACTATCTCTTAGTAAACATCAGGATTCGAAACTGCACACTCTGCTAACAGTGCATGCAGTGCATTATCTACACAGCTGTGTGGATAAAATACTGCATACACTAATGGGGAGTGTGGAGGTTAAAATCCTAGTGGGGACTAAGAGATAATGTTTGTAAATAATCTCGCCCGTTTGCGAATTGTTAATTATATATATTATATATATATTATATATATATATTATATATATATATATATATATATATATATATATATATATATATATATACAAATTATGTCGTGCCTAATAAGCCGAACTTGCCAAATAGGCTGGACTCTATTAAAAATTAAACTTTTCTTAAAAATTCTTTTACAGAATATAAGATAATATTTTCCACTGACAGTGATATATAGATTCATTTTTTTTATCAAACCTAACTTAGAAACCTAATCTAACCTAACTTAACCTAACCTAAGCTAACCTAACCTTACCTAACCTAACTTAACCTAGCATAATTTATTTTAGAAAAATTCTTTAATGCAGCACATATGTCAGTTTCAATTGATTTTATACTCAATCTCTCTCTCTCTCTCTCTCTCTCTCTCTCTCTCTCTCTGTATATATATATATATATCTATATATATTGATGTTTAGACTGATTTCCGCTTCTTTATAGCAAAAACTAAAACTGAACTCTGCCGAATTATCAATATGGAAATTTGTTTTACCCATAAATCAGTGAAAATCAATCTGAACACAACTAAAAATATATGTATCATTGATTTTAAGCAATATTAAATAAATTTAAACTGATCTGTACTAAGCAGAATTTAGCTAAAAAGAAAAGCTAGTTTAAGTTAGGTTAGTTAAGGTTTCCTTGTTAGGTTTAGTTCAAAAATAAAACTTTTTATATCATTCTCAATAAAAAATATTTCTATCATTCTATATATATTTTTTTTCTTTTGAAAAGTCTTATTTTTAAGGAATTTCGGCCTTTTCGGCAAGTTTGGCTTATTATTATTATTATTATTATTATTATTATTATTTTATTATTATTATATATATATATATATATATATATATATATATATATATATAATATATATATATATATATATATATATTATATATATATATATATATATATTATATATTTATATATATATATATATATATATATATATATATATATATATATATATATATATATATAATATATATATATATATAATATATATATATGGAAAATGCATACAAGAAAATGACTACTTATGGGAAATAAATTTAATTTCTCTATGTAAGTGAAGTTGCTGCCGGTATTATTCACACCCCTGAGCAATGAGACTTCTCACCTCCAGGGAGGTACATACTTCCCAGGTTGAGAGACACTCGTCTACACTCCATGCTCATGTAAGCCCTGGCATGTTTCCCTGCTCCACGCGTTACCTTACTGTATACTTGTGCTGACTCCAGCTGGGGCTTGTGCAACTTTCCCAGTTCACCTGTTGAACAGCAGAAGGCCTCCCATTGTACCTGACGGAAAAAAAAATGTCTTTCATTCACCAAAACGTAGGTTTCTGCTTTGAAACTATGAGTGCCCCACATTAGAATTGTACCAACATCCCCAGTATAAAAGACATATTTTGAGGACGGTGGAAATTAGTATGCACGAACGTGGAAAAAGAACCTGGAAAGAATGGTGCCGGAAATGGTAAAAAAGATCTCAGTTCTCTGGCAAAGGCTTCCTACAGTGTCAAGAAGAATCACTCATTGCATACTTGCAAACACGGGTTAGGACAGTTGACAGCATACATACACACACATGTGCATCAGGACATGACAGCAGACATACACACACACGTATCAGGACAGATGACAGGAGACACACACATACATCAGGACAGATAACAGCAGACATACACATATACGCATCAAAGCAAATAACAGCAGACATACGCACACGATAGGAGACACGCATCGGGACAAATGACAGCAGACATACACATACGCATCAGAACATGACAGGAGACATACACACATGCTTCAATACA